GAGTATGGGTCACCATACTTGGCCACATGTCACGTCACTTTTCACTTTTTCACTTTTCACTTTTCAATATTACAGCGAGAATAAAAGTTACTCCTTCTTTCTTTGTGTGAACATTTGGGCGGTGTTATGCAAATCTTCGCACATCGTGACGTAGATATGTGGGGGTGTGTTAGAACGAGCCGTTTTAGGTAGGTGTGGCTGACTCTTAACTTTTATAAAGAATATCTCTTTGGATTTGAGACTTTAGTCTTTGCAACTTTACAGATCTTCTTTATGCACCAAGAGCTTGTAACACTCCAAAGAGAAAGGAACAATTGAAATCGCATCATATGACCCCTTTAAGGATCACAATGAGGATTTTAAAAACAATGTACAAGTGATCACATGATGTACACAAATTCAGGCCCATTTAAGAACAAAGCTTTCAGACAGTAGGAGCATTGTGTTTTCAGTGTGATGAAGAAGAGAATATATCGGTTGAAATTGTCAAAAGCCAGAATTATTTGTTCCCTTGAGATTTTCTTATGGGTTTTTCAATTCATGAGTAAAATAAGGTCTGTGGTAAACAACGTTACTTGGATGTTTTGTACAACAAACTGCAGACGCTCCAAATGCTCTTATGTAGTTAATTATTACAAACATACGCTTTTTAAAATGAACACGTTTTCAGTATGGATGTGTGTAATTTATGTCGTACGGAAAAACCCAAATATTGTCCATTTATATTTACCATAGACTCAAAAAACTGAAGAAAAAGCCCATTATAAAACCCACAGGAAGATCTGGAGGAGCCTGTGGAGAGGATAATGACTGCAGAAGCTGTGAAACATGTCTAAATGAGTTTCATGACAGACGCAGATTCTCCTGACTGCTTACGGTTAGAGTTCATAAGAATAATAGGATCGGTCATAATCACTTAAAACTAACGAGCACATCTCCATCACACCAACACTGACAGGCTAGATTATTTTTACTCTTCTCTAGGGTTTACATGTCAAGAAAGATGTCTGTGTTCTTCCTGGATTATAATTATTGAGAGGTGTATAATCTGATTTGAACACAGCTAGTTTAAACAGGTAAAGCTCTGCTGCCCTCATCTGGAAACAATGAACAAACACAGGTTCATCTCAAATCAACTCAAAGTTTCTCAACCATCTGCAAGTCCCTGAACCCAGTGTACAAGCGTCTGGCAGAAACTCATGTTTCATATGTTCATCCTATATATATATTGCAGAGTAAGGCCAATATAAAGCCATTAAAGCATAATTAAAAATTAAACAGGATAAAAAATGATGCAGATAAGGGAGTCACTTCCCAATAATATGAGTGTAATATAGCTGTAACACATAAAATTCATATTGCACTTGATTAAAATAATGTTGCTTATTGTATTCAGCAGAAGACTTCAACTTTAACATTAATATTTATTCTTTGCTCGTGAAGTTGTTTT